TTTTTAATAATTAAATTAAAATAAAAAGATTAATAATTTATATAACTTTAACAAAACGTCGGCAGGGCCATAATCACAGCCACAACTCATGGTCAGCTGGTAGCTTTCTTTTTCAGTCCAAGACACCTCATCGAAGACGGCATAAATGATATGAAAGAATAAAAACGAAGGCGCGTTCACAACACGCTCCAATAAGCGTGTGCTCTTTTTCCTGGTTTTCGTTGCAGCTTCGCTGTTTCCCTCCTTTCTCTTTCCTTATAAACGCCATTTTTTTTCTTACTCCAATCTTCGACAGACTCGCTTTCCTTTCCTCTGCTTTCTCTTCCTTCCTTATTCTTCTCTTTCTCACTAACTATGGCGGACAGAGTCTACCCTTCATCCAAACCAGTTGGCGCCAACGGAACCCCCGTTGCTGCCAAAACACCCACCTTTCCGGCCACCAAAGCCCAAATTTATGGCGCCAGTACACGCCCCCTTTACCACCCTCAACCCACTCGCCACCGCCGCCGCCGCCGCCGCTCTTGCTTCTGTTCCTTTTGTCTCTGGTTCACCCTTATAATCATTGTCCTCATCATCCTTGCTGCCGTCGCTGGGGCCATCGTTTATGTCCTCTACCGTCCGCAACGCCCTTCCTTCACTGTAACCTCCCTCAAAATCTCCACCTTCAACCTCACCGCCGCCTCCAGACTCACCACCAAGATCAACCTCAACATCTCTGCTAAAAACCCCAACAAGAAATTGGTCTACATCTACAACCCTGTCTCCGTCTCCCTCACTACAACCGACGACATCGATGTCGGAGACGGTTCTCTCCCGTCTTTCGTGCATCCAACCAAGAACACGACCCTGCTGAAAGTGGCGATTACCGGAACCAGCCAAGAACTGGACGATTCGGCAGCTTCTAAATTGAAGAAGGATCTGAAGAGCAAGAACGGTGTTGCGTTGAAGTTAAAGCTAAATACTAAGGTGAAAGTGAAGATGGGTGGTTTGAAGACTCCGAAAGTCGGCGTTAGGGTTTCTTGTGAAGGGATTAGAGCCACTGTTCCGACAGGGAAAACGGCGACAACGGCTTCGACTTCTAAAGCGAAATGTAAGGTTGATTTGAGGATCAAGATCTGGAAATGGACTTTCTGATCTGAAATTAAGATTTGAGAAGAGAATGTGTGATTTTCTTTTGGTACTTTTCGTGTTATTCATATATATTTTTCTTAATTAGTATATGATTGTACATGGAAACAACTTTGTGTGATTAATAATCAATTGATAGAAGATTGATTATAGATAATGTTTGAGTACCATAGTTTTTTTTTTTTTTTACTGTATTTTTATTCTTTTGTTATTTAGCATATTGCTTTTCCTCAATTGTAAAATTCTCTACTTTTTAAATGGGTGGGATAAAAATCGGTTATATCCCCGATTCAGTCCCTCAACTTTCATTTTTGAACTAAAACTACCCTCGAACTTCAAAAAGTACTAAAAAAAATCCTTGAACTTCAATTTTTGGGACCAATTTAGTCCTTCCGTCAGTTAAGTGCTAACATGGCAACATTACCCGTTAACAAATTCAATTTTTATTAATATTAAATATTACCTGGAAATAAAATGAGTGATGTGGCATTTTTAATTATAAAAATACGGTGACTTGGCACCAAAAATATAATTTAATAAATAATTTTTTTTTTCTTTCCTTTCCTTTCTTTTTCTCCTTCTCTTTCCTTTTCTCCTTCCCCTCCCCTACTGGGTTCGAAGGAACCCAGCACCAACGCCTGGGTTCCTCGAACCCAGGCGCGGGTCGAGGCACCAGGCGTGCTGGGTTCGATGGAACCCAGGCGCTGGTTCCAACGAACCCAAGACGCCTGGGTTCGTTCAAACCCAGCATGCCTGGGTTCGAACGTTCCTCGAACCCGCCTAGGTTTTTTTGTTCTGTTTCTTTGTTGGCTTGCAGTCATGCTTGAATGGGATTTAGAGTTTGGTGTGGTTTCTGATTGCTTGAATTTCCAGATCTAGTTACTGTTGATGTTGATTGAAGGAATGTGGTGTTTTTTCCATTTTTCTTTGCAGATCTAGTATACATTTGTAGAGGAATTGATTTTTTGAATCAGATTTATTGAGTTCTATTAGGGAGGAGGTTTGGGGAAGAAGTAGATGGTGATTGGAGTGGTAATAGATGATCGGAGCAATGAGGGATGACCGGAGTAACGAGGGATGACCGGAGTAACGAGGGATGATCGGAGTAATGAGAGATGACGTGAACTAGTTATTTTTCACGTAATTAAAGATTTCAAACAAGAATTGATTTTGTGGCAACTTAACGTGCCATCTGTCATTTCCGTCGACGGAAGGACGAAATTGGTTCCAAAAATTGAAGTTCAAGGATTTTTTTAGTACTTTTTGAAGTTCGAGGGTAGTTTTAGTTCAAAAATGAAAGTTGAGGGACTGAATAAGGGGATATAACCGATAAAAATCTAAAGAAAACAACAATCAGGACATGTTTTACGGTTCAATTTTAATATTCGAAATCTAATAGGATATTTGTAAGTTTTCTGTTACCAAATCCCAAATGGCGAATACACTGCTGTTTTTTTCTTTGGAGTGATAATGGAAGAGGGGCCCTACGGGACAAGACTCGAGTGGGACTCGAACTGAACTTGCGAGCCCTTAATGAACCAAATTAACGGTCGGCTCAACCTGGTCTGGTGGTTGGCTAAAACTCTGATGCCATTTGAGAGGGAGGGGTATCAGAAGGCTCTAAAATCTCTTGGGTTTTTGTAGGCGTCTCTTTACCTTGTGTCGTCGTGTTCACTCTGTCTCCCCATTATCAACTTCAGATCTTAAACCCTAAATCTTGTGAAGAAAAAATTTTATTGGACCATGATAGCTAGGAATTTGTTAATTTATAATTACAATATAAATACCAATGATTTGTTGGTCTAAATAAAATGAACTCAATTTTTTTTAAATAAGATCTTAAATTTAAATTTTATAAATAAAAAAATAAACATTAAGAGAGTTTATTTTTTTATGAATTCTGATACAATTCGATTTTAAATTAATTAAGGTTTAATGTAATTTTTGAATACCAATAGATTAATACAAAACAAACAATTACAACACAAATTACTATGTTTAAAAATCATAAGATATTTTTAGTGATTGTCATGTTAGTATGACTTTTATATTTTATTAAAATTATTGAACGAAGGAATGAAATCCTAATATTAAAAAACTTATCTTTATTTAATGATTAAAATTATATAATTCACTTCAAGTATAAACCGCAATTGACCTCAAAACAACTCGATAATATATCTATTGTCGAGTTGTTTTGGAGTTACTGCACTATATACTTTACAGTATTTTGATCATGCATTTGAGAAAATTATATTTTTATTCGGCATAATTTGCCAACTTGAACTCTAAACTAACCAACGCTTAGCAAGTCCAACCTTACGTTATGATCATATATCAGTCCTGCTTGTGGTGAAAAGGCCACACTTTATTCTTCTAATTAAATCGAATGTTAAAAAAAAAAAAAACCGTTTGGTCAATAATTTGTGTCGGTGGAGGTTCTCTTGATTCAATTATTGTCACTTGTGGTGCTCAAAGTAGGGTCACAGCCAGCCACCATGCACGGTGGTTTCTTGGGAAAAACATTATTGCGTCGTGGAACACTATAGAGGTAAGCATCGAAGTAATAAATAATGACAAAATTAGTTATAAGGAATTATAGGTTAGTTAGAAAAATAAATGCACGTACTCCATCATTTTGTACCAAAAGAAAGTTTAAATTAATAAGAGCTTACAATCAATAAATTCAAGCGGTGATAAAAGAATAATTTTTTATATTATTTTATAATATAATTTTTATATATCATTAAATAAATAAAT